ATGCATACTCACTTCAGAATAACTTTGAAAATGTTTCTCCTAAGCTGAAAAACTAAAGCTAATATATTAAAAGAAAAACAAGATAATCTTTGTTTCTAATTGTGCAAGTGTGACTAGCAGTATTTTCTATTCTTCTTTCTATTTTACAACTGTTACCACGCTATTTCTATTTTTCAGTGAAAATTACTTAAGTTATTGGTTGAAAATTTTATTCTGTTTAGAATCTCCTTCCTTTGTATGATCTGTGCAAATTCTGTCAATAATTCAATACTTTATATGTTTTAATATTGAGAAATATGAATAAGTGCATGTAGGAAGCAGGAACTGTTATAAGTTGACTAATGAACCATAATCCAATTCTGTCAATTAACTAACGTTCATGATTTGAATAATAAGTTTAGTATATTCTATTTTTCAGTAAAAGTTCGGATACTTCCAACAACACCTGATTTAAAGCTTGTTCCCAAAGAGACTGTAAGTTTTTTTTATTTTTATCTCTTCAAATTACAAAGTTTGTTAGAAATAGTTCAAGGTAGCTTAAGTTAAGATATTAGCAACATCAATAAAGTCTACCATTAAGTGAATAAGTAAAGAGGCAAACAAAAAATAAAATAAAAAAAGTGTCCCATTTGGCTATTGTGCCTGACATAATGTAAGCAAATTTTTTGTGTGCTTCAATCAAGATGCATGGTATTGTGTCGTGTGGTGAAAACAACATGTTTGATGTTAACAGGAGTGATAGTTTATCGATTTTTCACCTTCTGTAGCTCGGAATGTGTTAAACCAAACTAATACATTTCTAGTGGATATGCTCTACTAGAAACTTACTTCACATACCAAATTTCAAGGCAACCCATTAAGTAATACACAACACAAAAATCTTCAACTTTGATTGAGTTTTTCCTTTTTTTTTTTATGGAAAATGTATTTGATAGAAAAACATGCTTATCTTTTAATGGATTTCATTCAAATTTGTAACACTGATAGATCTTTACAACCTACAATTAGGTGTCAACTTTGGTCTAAATATAAGTCACATGTTTAAAGGTATTTAACAAAAACTGCTAAAATTTGACAAGTTTTTGCTCACACCTACACAAAAAGTCATGCAAGTTGAAATTTTTACCACAGCTTCATCTAAGAGTAAAAATTGACCATTTTTATTTTTTTTGCCATTTGGATTGAAGATGGTTGATTTAGAGCAGCAAAACTGTAGGGTGAAAGGACGTGCAGATACACAAGTATTGGTTAGGCCAAGCAAACTAGATTATCAGTTTCCAGTTGAAGTTTTCAAAAGAATCATAGGGGTGGTAAACGGTTTTTATTCATTGCTAACCGCAGCCAACGTTTAAGCACAAATATGCTAAATTTTATGAAATTATTCTAATTATAGAGTGTTTAGCATCACCTGATATTAGTTTAAACAATCGGCGTGAATAATACTTGATATGACTGTACCGAGTACATGTGGGTGATGAGAAGAAACTGTTAATCTAGATTCCATGGCATTACTATAAATGAAGGTACTAACACTGTTTTAGAGAGAAAAAAGTATCACTATACATTTTAAAAGAATCTGGTTGGTTCTGTAAAGTATAGGTCTGTTCCAAATAATAGGGTTTGGATCCTAAAGTTAATGCTGGTTACTATCAAGTGTCACTTTTTACTTGCTGTGGTTTGCTAGTGTGTATTGACAAAAAAAAGTCATGATATCTAATGAAAAACACCTTAGGTGTGCTAAAAAAGGTGCAGCCAGAAAAATGAGAAAAAGAATATTGAGCATGCAATTTAAAGGAATGATACCAAAATTATCAACCAAACTATTAAACAACACTTATATAGCACTGATAGGAATTTTACAGCAAATATTCATTCATTATAGTTAGCTAGGTTGTGTGTTTTGTTTTACCCAACATCATGCCCAAAGTTGAACAAAAGACATGGCCTGGCTGTAGGTGTAGCTACCAGTCTGGCTGCCAACTTTGATTTTATTCTTTTAAGTCACATGCTCAATCCTTTTTTCTTTTTGGCTGCACCTTTTTTTCACACGTAAGGTGTTTTCGATTAGATTCTAATTAATTTGGGGAAAGGTTAAACACATGTCAGACTCTGATCAAGGCATTGTTCTTAAGGGCCCAAATAGCTAATAATTCAGTAACAAAAACAATGGAACTTGCTAAGAAATCAAAGGCATTGGTATCATGAATCCATAGCATGGCAGAAATTCTGACTAAAGTCTGTAAGCAAACAGAAACTACAGATAGAAAAAAACCTGCTTCCAGACAAGGATGGGTTTTCAAAAGTTGTAATGAAGACCAGTATGTATGCAATTGTAAAGTAATTGATAGAACACATCAGCCATGAACAAGAACTAATTTTAACAAGAGCAATGCACGGGGAGCTTTAAGAAACAAATTTTAGTAACTGTTTATTTTATTTTAAAACCACTAGTCTCAGCTGCCAACAGAAAAGTAGACGTACAGTTGTACAAAGATGAATGGAATTGGATTGTTGACCAATGAAAATATGTTGTATTCAAATGAATCTCTTTACATATTATTCTGTACAGATGAGAGAGTCAAATTTTGCTGACAACTTCATGTGTTGTTTCCACTGTGAAGGCTGTTGTAGATGGAATAATGATGTGTGTTGTATTTTTATGGCATGGACCAACTTCTTTGGACTCTATGAATGGTAGCATTAAATCCTATTAATATTTGAGCTCTTTTTTTGGCAATCCAGAACACCCTGGTGGTTCATATTTTCAAGACAACAATACTACCTTCCACAATACTAGTATTATTTGTGATTGTTTTATATAGCATGAGAAGAATGGTACCATCTTCTCTAGCCACTAACATCCCTAAATTTCCATCCAGTTAGGAACCTGGACCAAATTGGATCATGCTATCGGAAGACATAGTTCTTTAAATTTTATCCAGAAGGATTTGGAGACAACATTATTTAAGAAATAGGAGAAAATTAAAGATAATATACTTCAAAACTAGTAGATTAGTCAATGTTAAAATGGATTTAGGTTTTAATTATAACAAATGGTTGTCTAACATGTAACTAGGACGGGGCTTTTGATCATGTAGTGTATTAAGTACTTCCTCACCCTCAAAAATATTTATCACAGTATTGTTACGTCTCCGTTTGTTAATTGATTTTCCGTAACTTCGTTCCGACGAAACTTTAGCGACACAAGTCCTTACTTAATAAAACTGGTTTATTCTTTCTGAATATAACTTTACGATACACTTATTTTCAACAGTCACGTTATAACAAACTATAATAACGGACGAACGTTAACTACAACAATACGTCTCTCTCTGACTGCAGTTCAATTACTCATTACCTACACACACATTACCTTCCCGTCACGTTTTCACCCTCTTTTTTATTCCAGACTACC